GTGTGTGTATATATATATATTATAAATTATATAGTTACATAGTCTGGCTGAAAAAAGACAAAAGTCCATCCAGTTCAACCATTAAAAAAAAAAAAGTTATAATCCTTCACCCACAGTTGATACAGACGAAGGCAAAAAACCCAGCAAAGCATGATCCATTTGCTCCTGCAGAGAAAAAAATTCCTTCCTGATCCCCCGAGAGGAAATCGGATATTCCCTGGATCAACTTTACCTATAAATGTTAGTATCCAGTTATATTCTGTGTATCTAGGAAAGAATCCAGGACTTTTTTAAAGCAATCCACTGAGCTGGCCAGAACCAACTCTTGAGGGAGTCTATTCCACATTTTCACAGCTCTCACTGTGAAGAAACCTTTCCGTGTTTGGAGATTACATTTCTTTTCCTCCAGATGTAAAGAGTGCCCCCTTGTCCTCTGTGATGACCTCAGGGTGAATAGCTCTACACCGAGTTCACTATATGAACCACTGATGTATTTATACATGGAGATCATATCCCCCCTTATGTATTATACAAGGTGATCATATCCCCCCTTATGTATTATACATGGAGATCATATCCCTCCTTATGTATTATACATGGAGATCATATCCCCCTTATGTATTATACATGGAGATCATATCCCCCTTATGTATTATACATGGTGATCATATCCCCCCCTTATGTATTATACATGGAGATCATATCCCCCCTTATGTATTATACATGGAGATCATATCCCCCCTTATGTATTATACATGGAGATCATATCCCCCCTTATGTATTATACATGGAGATCATATCCCCCCTTATGTATTATACATGGAGATCATATCCCCCCTTATGTATTATACATGGGGATCATATCCCCCCTATGTATTATACATGGTGATCATATCCCCCCTTATGTATTACACATGGAGATCATATCCCCCTTATGTATTACACATGGTGATCATACCCCCCTTATGTATTACACATGGTGATCATATCCCCCCTTATGTATTACACATGGTGATCATATCCCCCCTTATGTATTACACATGGTGATCATATCCCCCCTTATGTATTACACATGGTGATCATATCCCCCTTATGTATTACACATGGTGATCATATCCCCCCTTATGTATTACACATGGTGATCATATCCCCCCTTATGTATTAGACATGGAGATCGTATCCCCCTTATGTATTACACATGGTGATCATATCCCCCCTTATGTATTACACATGGTGATCATATCCCCCCTTATGTATTACACATGGATATCATATCCCCCCTTATGTATTACACATGGAGATCATATCCCCCCTTATGTATTACACATGGAGATCATATCCCCCCTTATGTATTACACATGGAGATCATATCCCCCCTTATGTATTACACATGGAGATCATATCCCCCCTTATGTATTACACATGGAGATCATATCCCCTTATGTATTACACATGGAGATCATATCCCCCCTTATGTATTATACATGGTGATCATATCCCCCCTTATGTATTATACATGGAGATCATATCCCCCTTATGTATTATACATGGAGATCATCATCCCCCCTTATGTATTATACATGGAGATCATATCCCCCTTATGTATTATACATGGAGATCATATCCCCCCCTTATGTATTATACATGGAGATCATATCCCCCTTATGTATTATACATGGAGATCATATCCCCCCTTATGTATTATACATGGAGATCATATCCTCCCTTATGTATTATACATGGTGATCATATCCCCTTATGTATTATACATGGAGATCATATCCCCCCTTATGTATTATACATGGAGATCATATCCCCCCTTATGTATTATACATGGAGATCATATCCCCCCTTATGTATTATACATGGAGATCATATCCCCCCTTATGTATTATACATGGAGATCATATCCCCCCTTATGTATTATACATGGAGATCATATCCCCCTTATGTATTATACATGGTGATCATATCCCCCCTTAATCTCCTCTTCTCAAGAGAGAATAAATTCAGTTCCTCTAATCTTTCCTCATAGCTGATCTCCTCCATGCCTCGTATCAGTTTGGTTGTCCTTCTCTGTACTTTCTCCAGTTCCTCAATGTTCTTTTTGTGAAAAAATAAATTATATATATATTCTGTATACTGAGGAATCAAGCTAAAGAGTTAATATGGATATCATTTGAATGACAGGAATTGCCAGTGTGAGGGAGGCCAACAATCATATGGTGTAAACCTTGGGCAACATAAGCCACTATGAGTCTATTGTTACTACTATCATTGTCTCCTCTGGACTACATTGTGTAGTTTTTGGATCTACTTGCTTGATTACAGCCACCTTATTCAATTTTGTCTATGTATGGAATCTAGGATGCAAATACAAATGAACTGCCCCTAAACAGGACAGATTTCATCAGACCTGTTATTCAACTGTAGTGTGTCTGTCGAGGAAAATCTGTGTACATAAGTCTACGTACATATCTTTGATAACCAGATACTGTTTATGGTGGTCTTGAAACAACTATCCAGCATACTGGAAAATATATATTTCTTTGTGGCCACCTTTCTAATTTCTATCTATTTCTATCTATCACTGTCCCTGCTTTCCTGAGAGCTCAGTTACGATAAACTTTTTTGAATTTAAAATACGATGTATGAATCCTATGTGATTGTTTAAGGGTTATTAGTGGGGTTTGTTGTGCTCTGAGTGTGTTTCTTTGTAATTTTAATTAACCACTTCTGTGCCGCCCTATAGCAGAAATACTGCTACAGTTCAGCATGGGTGCACAAAATGATGCCATTCGCGGCCTCAGCTGTCACTTACCGGGTGCCAGTGGGGAATTACTGGCCGGGACCTGGTAATTGACAGCTGAGGCAGCGAATGGCGTGATTTTGCGCACCCGTGCCACCCTGTAGCAGTATCTCTGCTATAGGGCGGTGCAGAAGTGGTTAATTAAAATTACAAAGAAACACGCTCAGAGCAAAACAAACCCCACTAAATAACCCTTAAACAATCATATTCCGGGACCTATAGGGTTCATACATCGCAAGCAGAGCCATACAAAGCAGTGTGCTTACAGTGGAAAGCATGCACACAGTAAAACAGCACACAGTTAACCCTTTAATCACACCCCACATGTTAACCCCTTCTTGCCCAGTGTCATTAGTACAGTGTCAGTGCTTTTTATTAGCACTGATCATTGTAATGGTGTCACTGGGGATGTCAGTGACACCAAGTCAGTTCCCCCTAGTGTCAGAAACCCTGACGCAGTCCCGCTATAAGTCGCTGATCGCCGCCATTACTAGTAGAAAAAAAATATTAAAAAAATTCCAGTATATATACCGCCATTTGTAAACGCTATAACTTTCACGTAAACCAATTAATTTACACGTATTGGGATTTTTTTTTTATCAAAGTCATGGAGCAGAATACATTTTGGCCTAAATTTATAACAAAATTTGATTTTTTAAAATTTTTTTTTACTGGACATGTTTAATAGCAAAAAGTAAAAAATATCGTGTTTTTTTCAAAATTGTGGGTCTTTTTTTTTGTTTATAGCGCAAAAAATAAAAAGTGCAGAAGTGATTAAATCCCACCGAAAGAAAGCTCTATTTGTAAGGAAAAAAAAGGATGTAAATTTCATTTTGGTGCAGCGTTGCATGACTGCGCAATTGTCAGTTAAAGTAACCCATATCGCAAAAAATGGCCTGGTCAGGAAGGGGGGTAAATCCTCTGGAGGGCAAGTATTTAATAAATGAAGTATTTTGTATGTTAATGATATCTGTCAATGTTTTTCTTACTTTTATATAATGGTTGAAAAAGTGATTTGGGTAGAGGTATTGAGCTAAATCCATTTTTTGTTTTTTTAAATTAAAAAACAAATGGAACGGGATCTGTTCCCCTCCATCTGGGCGGATCGGAGGGCAGTCAGGTGTAAACAGACAGTAGGTCCGTTTACATCCAACTGCCCATAGAGCAGAGCGTGGTCTGTCTGTGTCTGCATAAACTGACCTGTCATCCCCACCGCTCTGCTCAGCAGGGCATCAGCAAACAGAACCCCCACCAAACAAGCAGATTCAAGCAGATTCCGCCCCATGTGAAAGGGATCCTAAAGTGCATTGCTATCCCTTTTAAAGCAGAAATAAAATCGGCAAATACTTATGTCTGCTCATTGCCGGTGCTGACATCTAATCCCCGGTATCTTCCAGGTGCCAGGTCTTCGGCCATCTTTTTTCGCCAGTACAGAATGATGTAACTGCTGTGCAGGAGTGTTCATTCATCCTGGTACCATCAGACTGTGGCGAGAATGGACAATGAGCTGCGCAGTTCTGTGTACATTCTACAGAAGAGCAAGTACGTTTTTTTTTTTTTTTTTTACTGTGACATGTCTCTTCTGTAATAATAAAGATCCCGCCTGTTCATTTTTTTTTTGTTTTTAGCTTTAGTTCCACTTTAAAATGAATGGACTGCCCTAAAGTGTTAATAAACCTACAACAGTAAAATCAATCTGTATATGAAGTAAAGCATATATACTCACTGTGGAACCTACGAGGTTAATCCTCTGCATTATGAAAAAATTCTGTTTGATCCTGACTTCTCTGATCCTCCCCTTCTTCCATTGTCCCCCCTGTTATCTCCTGATAAGACATAAGGTGTGGAGTCACTCTGCACATGCTCAATTTGGAGTGTATTGCTAGAGAGATTTTTTTTTTTTTTCTTGGGAGGGTGCATGTGATCAGCACAGGGCCAATCAGCACTGTCCAGACAGAGGTCAGGGGTCCTGCATCTTCCTTGAGCAGAATGAAAACTCCTCCTACAAAGCTTTAACCAGTGCTCGGCTGAACACTAATAGAAGTCATGGTTATATACTGCTGATGAGAAAAGGTTTATTTAGCAGTTTATATTTACTAAAATAATTGCATTTCCATGTTGTGTGTACTGTGGGAGACCGGAAATAGTGAATGCAGGGTCCTGGGAGACCGGATATTGTGAATGCAGGGTCCGGGGAGACCGGATATAGTGAATGCAGGGTCCGGGGAGACCGGATATAGTGAATGCAGGGTCCGGGGAGACCGGATATAGTGAATGCAGGGTCCGGGTGAGACCGGATATAGTGAATGCAGGGTCCGGGGAGACCGGATATAGTGAATGCAGGGTCCGGGGAGACCGGATATAGTGAATGCAGGGTCCGGGGAGACCGGATATAGTGAATGCAGGGTCCGGGGAGACCGGATATAGTGAATGCAGGGTCCGGGGAGACCGGATATAGTGAATGCAGGGTCCGGGAGAGACCGGATATAGTGAATGCAGGGTCCGGGGGTTTAGTAACACTTTAAAGGAAGAAGTTCACCTTTTGACAAAAAATAATAAATGCTAATTTTTTTGCAGGTAAAAAAATGTGCATTTATTATTTTTGTGTACAGGAGTCTGTAAAGCATTGCACCAGAGATCAGTAGATGGCTGGTGCCATGCAGGTCTCCTGCAGACCTGTCAGAATATCTGCTTGCTTGTACATTCCATAGGTGCAAGCCTATACACTCTGACAGGCAGTATCAATGAACTACCACAGAGCCGTAGTTCATTGAGAACTACAAGCCAACAGCCACTAAGGACTTGTAGTTTTCTCATTCAGAGGATTGTGAATGCATAACGCCACCGGGTGGAGCCCCACAGGGCCACATTTTAAAAAATGTTTGACAGCTAGTGGGGGCGGGGGAAGATCCCCTGCTGGCTGTCAAAGCGGGGAGGGGGGGGGGAGCAAGGGGAGCAGGAGCCAGTCCTTTCATTACATGCTACATCCAGAATATGGATGTAACATGTAACATGGTGAATTTATCCTTTAAAGCAGAAATAAAATCTCCAATAACAAAACTGCGAGCAGACAGGCTCTTTGTTGCAGAAGAGACATAAACCTACCTGCCTGCTCACAGTCTTCATTAGAATGTAATAAAACTTTGAAATTAAAGCGGCACACCACTGCTAAGAGGTCCAAATACAACTTTATCCCAATAAAAGTCAGGGGGGACAATCCAAAAGGTAGCCAATTCAAGGGTCTAACAGCACCCCCTTCATCAGGTTTCTTCAAGTGTGATTACAAGCAAGGTATCCAGCGCATTTTGAGGGTCCAAGAGCATCCCCTTCATCAGGGTTCTTTTAGTGTGAATACATGCACAAGCAAAGTAGCCAATGCATTTCGGGGGGTCTAACAGCATCTCCTTCATCAGGGTTCCTTTAGTGTGAATACATGCACAAGCAAGGTAGCCAACGCATTTCGGGAGTCCAACAGCATCTCCTTCATCAGGGTTCTTTTAGTGTGAATACATGCACAAGCAAAGTAGCCAACGCATTTTGGGGGGTCTAAGAGCATCTCCTTCATCAGGGTTCCTTTAGTGTGAATACATGCACAAGCAAGGTAGCCAACGCATTTCGGGAGTCCAAGAGCATATCCTTCATCAGGGTTCCTTTAGTGTAAATACATGCACAAGCAAGGTATCCAACACATTTCGGGAGTCCAACAGCATCTCCTTCATCAGGGTTCTTTTAGTGTGAATACATGCACAAGCAAGGTAGCCAATGCATTTCATGGGGTCTAAGAGCATCTCCTTCATCAGGGTTCCTTTAGTGTGAATACATGCACAAGCAAGGTATCCAACGCATTTCTGGGGTCCAAGAGCATCTTCTTCATCAGGGTTCTTTAGTGTGAATACATGCACAAGCAAGGTAGCCAACGCATTTCATGGGGTCTAAGAGCATCCCCTTCATCAGGGTTCTTTTAGTGTGAATACATGCACAAGCAAGGTAGCCAACGCATTTCTGGAGTCCAAGAGCATCCCCTTCATCAGGGTTCTTTTAGTGTGAATACATGCACAAGCAAGGTAGACAATGCATTTCTGGGGTCCAAGAGCATCCCCTTCATCAGAGTTCTTTTAGTGTGAATACATGCACAAGCAAGGTATCCAACGCATTTCTGGGGTCCAAAAGCATCTCCTTCATCAGGGTTCCTTTAGTGTGAATACATGCACAAGCAAGGTATCCAATGCATTTTGGGGGTCCAAGAGCATCTCCTTCATCAGGGTTATTTTAGTGTGAATACATGCACATGCAAGGTTCCAACACATTTCGGGGGGTCTAAGAGAATCTCCTTCATCGGGTTCTTTTAGTGTGAATACATGCACAAGCAAGGTAGCCAACGCATTTCTGGGGTCCAAGAGCATCTCCTTCATCAGGGTTCTTTTAGTGTGAATATATGCACAAGCAAGGTAGCCAACACATTTCTGGGGTCCAAGAGCATCTCCTTCATTAGGGTTCTTTTAGTGTGAATACATGCACAAGCAAGGTAGCCAATGCATTTCATGGGGTCTAAGAGCATCTCCTTCATCAGGGTTCCTTTAGTGTGAATACATGCACAAGCAAGGTACCCAACGCATTTCTGGGGTCCAAGAGCATCTTCTTCATCAGGGTTCTTTTAGTGTGAATACATGCACAAGCAAGGTAGCCAACGCATTTCATGGGGTCTAAGAGCATCTCCTTCATCAGGGTTCTTTTAGTGTGAATACATGCACAAGCAAGGTAGCCAACGCATTTCTGGAGTCCAAGAGCATCCCCTTCATCAGGGTTCTTTTAGTGTGAATACATGCACAAGCAAGGTAGACAATGCATTTCTGGGGTCCAAGAGCATCCCCTTCATCAGAGTTCTTTTAGTGTGAATACATGCACAAGCAAGGTAGCCAACACATTTCTGGGGTCCAAAAGCATCTCCTTCATCAGGGTTCCTTTAGTGTGAATACATGCACAAGCAAGGTATCCAATGCATTTTGGGGGTCCAAGAGCATCTCCTTCATCAGGGTTATTTTAGTGTGAATACATGCACATGCAAGGTATCCAACGCATTTCGGGGGGTCTAAGAGAATCTCCTTCATCGGGTTCTTTTAGTGTGATTACATGCACAAGCAAGGTAGCCAACGCATTTCTGGGGTCCAAGAGCATCTCCTTCATCAGGGTTCTTTTAGTGTGAATATATGCACAAGCAAGGTAGCCAACACATTTCTGGGGTCCAAGAGCATCTCCTTCATTAGGGTTCTTTTAGTGTGAATACGCAACGCATTTCGGGGGGTCTAAGAGAATCTCCTTCATCGGGTTCTTTTAGTGTGAATACATGCACAAGCAAGGTAGCCAACGCATTTCTGGGGTCCAAGAGCATCTCCTTCATCAGGGTTCTTTTAGTGTGAATATATGCACAAGCAAGGTAGCCAACACATTTCTGGGGTCCAAGAGCATCTCCTTCATTAGGGTTCTTTTAGTGTGAATACAAGTACAAGCAAGGTATACAACGCATTTCGGGGGGTCTAAGAGCATCTCCTTCATCAGGGTTCTTTTAGTGTGAATACAAGTACAAGCAAGGTAGCCAACGCATTTCGGGAGTCCAAGAGCATCTCCTTCATCAGGGTTCTTTTAGTGTGAATACAAGTACAAGCAAGCTGGCCAACGCATTTATGAATAAAGTTGCCGTACGATTTTACACTATTAGTTTCCCTCTCTCTTCCTTTATGAGTTTTATGTCAAGAAGATATAAATGTTCATTGAATTGCCTCCCTATTGCCGACTATTGTTGCTCCCAGAGCAAAAGCGTGTGTGCTGGTTTATAATTTGACCGGCATGTTGCTCTGGTGAGTTTATTTAATTCATCTGGTGGTGGATTTTTCTCTGTGTTTTGCGTTAATTTCAAGTATTAACAGTTTGGAGCACTGAAGTTCAAGTTTTACTTCTTTTTCTTTATTAAATCACACATTGGAATTTGATTGACGTACAAAAAGGTTTTTTCACGTATATTTTTTACACCTAAGGATATTTGTTTGATGTTTTTTATTGATTTTTAAATTCTATATTTTTTTTATTATGATACTGGATTATTTATTTGTTTGATGGTTTTTGATACACTTTTTAAATTTTTTTTTAATATCCCCCTTATGTATTATACATGGAGATCATATCCCTCCTTATGTATTATACATGGTGATCATATCCCCCCTTATGTATTATACATGGAGATCATATCTCCCCTTATGTATTATACATGGTGATCATATCCCCCCTTATGTATTATACATGGAGATCATATCCCCCTTATGTATTATACATGGAGATCATATCCCCCCCTTATGTATTATACATGGAGATCATATCCCCCCTTATGTATTATACATGGTGATCATATCCCCCCTTATGTATTATACATGGAGATCATATCCCCCCTTATGTATTATACAAGGGGTTCATATCCCCCTTTATGTATTATACATGGAGATCATATCCCTCCTTATGTATTATACATGGTGATCATATCCCCCCCCCTTATGTATTATACATGGAGATCATATCCCCCCTTATGTATTATACATGGAGATCATATCCCCCCTTATGTATTATATATGGTGATCATATCCCCCTTATGTATTATACATGGTGATCATATCCCCCCTTATGTATTATACATGGAGATCATATCCCCCCTTATGTATTATACATGGTGATCATATCCCCCCTTATGTATTATACATGGTGATCATATCCCCCCTTATGTATTATACATGCAGATCATATCCCCCTTATGTATTATACATGGAGATCATATCCCCCCTTATGTATTATACATGGAGATTATATCCCCCTTATGTATTATACATGGAGATCATATCCCACCCTTATGTATTATACATGGTGATCATATCCCCCCCTTATGTATTATACATGGTGATCATATCCCCCCTTATGTATTATACATGGTGATCATATCCCCCCTTATGTATTATACATGGTGATCATATTCCCCCTTATGTATTATACATGGTGATCATATCCCCCCCCTATGTATTATACATGGAGATCATATTCCCCCTTATGTATTATACATGGAGATCATATCCCCCCTTATGTATTATACATGGTGATCATATCCCTCCTTATGTATTATACATGGTGATCATATCCCCCCTTATGTATTATACATGGTGATCATATCCCCCCTTATGTATTATACATGGTGATCATATCCCCCTTATGTATTATACATGGTGATCATATCCCCCCTTATGTATTATACATGGAGATCATATCCCCCCTTATGTATTCATACATGGAGATCATATCCCCCTTATGTATTATACATGGTGATCATATCCCCCCTTATGTATTATACATGGAGATCATATCCCCCCTTATGTATTATACATGGAGATCATATCTCCCCTTATGTATTATACATGGTGATCATATCCCCCTTATGTATTATACATGGTGATCATATCCCCCCTTATGTATTATACATGGAGATCATATCCCCCCTTATGTATTCATACATGGAGATCATATCCCCCTTATGTATTATACATGGTGATCATATCCCCCCTTATGTATTATACATGGAGATCATATCCCCCCTTATGTATTATACATGGAGATCATATCCCCCCTTATGTATTATACATGGAGATCATATTCCCCCCTTATGTATTATACATGGAGACCATATCCCCCCTTATGTATTCATACATGGAGATCATATCCCCCCTTATGTATTATACATGGTGATCATATCCCCCCTTATGTATTATACATGGAGATCATATCTCCCCTTATGTATTATACATG